TCTTTTCCAAGGATGAAAAACCATTATTAGGCATATTGAAGAAGAATAGCTTTTTCAAAAAAAAAAAAAAATAAACGACAAATTATTGTTGGTGATACAAAATGTTAAAGAAAATTATCTGGTGGGTGGCTCTTCTAATGCTAATTTAATTTCTGAAAAAGAATTTTGTATATATAAAAAAAAAAAAATCTTAAAGGTTGTATTATAATGTTCATAGAAAATTAGACGAAAGATAAAATATATTCTTATCAGGTTTGCTGCGCATTTTCACAGTTGAATCCCGAATACTATGATGATTTCATATTAAACAATGATTGTTATTTGATAATGGTGATCTCAAAAAAACAATAAATATTTACAAAATAATATCCGTTTTTTTATAATAAACAAAAAAAAACAAATAAATATGTTAATATTAAGGGGAAAGAAAACTCGTGGAAGAGGGATAAAAACAATTTATCGTTGTTACCATAATTAGAAATCCATCAAGTTTAGATTTTTTATGGTAGTAGTAATGTGTGTTGTAATGTAGATAGCAATGGTAATGGTAATAGTAATGGTAATAGTAACGGTAATAGTAATGGTAGTAGTAATAGAAATAAAATAAAACAAAAATGGAATAATCAAGATACGCGTAACTTAACTAAATAGATTAAATAGATTAAGAAGTAGTAATAGGAAAATAAAAATGAAATTTTCCAAAAAAGAAGTATATAAAAATTTTACACAAATATGCATATTTAATTCAATGGCATAAATAAACAAAAACGGGAGAGATCAACAGTTTTTCGCTTATATATAAACCTGATTTTTTATTTAGTAAGTGAAGAAAAAAAAACAAAAAAACAAAAAATGAATGTGTGGTGTTGATGTTGAAAAGTATTCAATTTTCTAAATATCATTCATTATCTTACCAATTTACTACTAACAAATTAACACTACTACTATTAATAATAATTACAATAATAATAATACTAGTAATAATTAACATTAATATTAAAGAAATATATATATATATATAATATATATATATTATATATATATTGTGATAATTTTGAAAAATAATAATGATACATAGGAAGAAAGATTATGGTGATCAGAAATAATAATCATTATGATGTAGAGTATGTAATTTATGTATACATTATTTTTTTACAAGTGTGAAAGTTACAATGCTTTTTTAGATTGTGAAATAACAAACATTTACATTTATAATAAATAGTTATCATAATCAGGATTTTGAATTTCTGAGAAATAATAATTCAAATATAAATCAATTTCACCAACAACATCAACACCAATATCCAAACCAACATCAACAACATTATAGTTATTCGCATCAACGCCACCAACAACAACAACACCAACAACAACAACAACAACAACAACAACAAAAACAACAACAACAACAACAACAACAACAACAACACTATCAAAATCCATTAGATTCATCCAAATCAGTTCGATTTAATCTTCCGGATTACATTATCGAACATTCAGAATCTAAACGTTCCAACCTAAATAAAATTCATCAATATAATAATAATAAATTAAGAATGATTTCACCCAAGGCATAAATTAAATTTACTAATATAATATCATATTATTATTATTATATAAGTTACGTTACTTACTGTTGTTGTCGTTATTGCTATTCTGATAATTTTTTAGGATCTTTTAAAAAATCGAAATCAAAATGTTCCAGATGATGTAGATTTTAATATTTTAATTGAATTCAGGATTTCAAAATCATTAAAAAATAAGTTCCTATATTATAATGATGATGATGACGATGAAGAGAATTATCATGATTATTCATATTATCATTATAATAATTATAATTCTGAAGAAAAAGTAGATGAAAACAATGTAAATTTTATTATTTATTCATTATTTATTATTTACTATAATGAAACTTTAATTTATATTTTATTTATTATTTATAGACTGACGATGATGAGGAGGAGAAGGAGGAGGAGAAGGAGGAGGAAGAAGAAGAAGAAGAGGAATTAGAGACAGGTAATGATGAAACTACTGAAAGTGGACCAGAAGTCAGGGATGTGAATCGGCCACAAGAGCAAATTTGTTATCAAGAATATCATCAAATACGACAACAACAACTACGACAGCAAATATTAAGACAGGAAAAAGATGAACAATTAAAACAACAACAGCAACAACAAAGACTACAACAATTAAAACGGGAGCAATTGCAACAGCAGCAATTGAGACAGCAACCAAAATATCGGAACCAACAAAACGCTCCTTATATTAAGGTTAGACCTAGAGCCAAAGGCATTGGTAATGATAGTGGCGTTGGCAATGTTGTTAGTGGTGGTGACAGTAGTGGGCGTAGAGGTATAAATGGTGGTAGATCCAGCGGTAGAGGTACAAATAGTGGTAAATCTAGTGTTAGGACTAGAAATGGGGGACATTCTAACAAGCCATTGGTTAATCCTTTTACTACCATAGATATTGAATCTTCTCAAAAAACAATTGAAAAATCGTCAAAGTCTATGAATTATACGGATGTTATTACATTAATAATGTTATTATATCTTTATTCAGAGAATCCTTATCAATTTAATTTGTTGACAAAAGAATTAATTCGTTATTCTATTGTGATGAACGTTAAAGATTTAATTTTAGGTGACAGACTTCTTAATTAGGGGGGTTCTCGACTATTATTATTAATTATTATTGTATTGGGGATATTGTAAAAAGTTTTTTTGAATTATTTTTTATTGGTGGAAAATACACATTATACATTTTTTGATTTTCATTCTTCCATTCTTTCATTCTTTTTTATTCTTCATTCTTTACTACTTTAAACGAGTATTCTCTTTTATTTTTTTGTATGTATAAATTTATACATATATATATTTTCACATCATAATTTATATATACAAATCACAAATACTCATATTATACATATATATAGTTTTAATTTACTTTTTCTTTGATGGACTGGGCTTAATTGTTTTAGGCAGGCTAAAATATAGATTTACAATTATAAATAATGATAATGATAATAAAATTAATAAAATCAGTAATGTAAAAAAATATATAAATATAATATTGATTGTATATTCTTTTAGCAGAATTAGCGTTACACTAATAGAATGTTGTTTATATAAACAAATAGAATTTATAGAAGAATTAGAAATTAGAACAAAAAAATTTTACAATAATAATAAATATTTAAAATTTTTTTATTCAATTTAAATTTAAATTTATCATATCGCTATCTTTGATAGTAATGGCTATATTATTTCTATGAATAACACATTCTGAATCTGTATAACCCAATTTCTCTGCTATTTCAGAACTTTTGCAACCTTTGATTCTAGAAATTTCCATGGAATTATAATTCACCAAACCTTTACCAATATTAATCACATTATGATTTTCTTTTTCATCTTTTACATCATCTACTTGTTGTTGTTCATCAACTTTTATTGGCTGATTCTCATAAACTATATGAACTGCTTGATTCGAACTAAAGTTACCCTGAACTTTTACAATTCCTGCAGAAAACAAACTACATTTTTGTCCTTTCTTTGAAATGGCTGTTGCTGCTCCTTTGTCGATATAAACTTTACCAGCTGTGTGTAGTCCATGCAATATCCACCATTTATGACCTTTAATTGGATCTTCTTTTGCTAAAAATCTAGTATACAAGGGAACGTCTTCCGCCACAGCTACATTGCTCTCAACATCTGAATCTTTTTGTGTTAGGTTATTTATTATTTTGATAATATTTTTAGGGTTTGAACCTTTAGATATTATTGTGGTCACACCTGCTGCTGTTGCTAAATCTGCTGCTATAAGTTTAGTAACCATCCCACCTGTACCTAATGAACTGCCGGGCGATGAAACAATAACTAATATAATAGTAATAATAATAATAATAATAATAACAATTTTATTATTATTACTATCATTACTATATATATGTATTAAATATAAAATTGTAAATAAATACTTGACTCTTTTAGTGTTCCAATATCTTCAACAATTTTAATTGGTATTGCATTTGAATTTATCCTTGGATTATCAGTGTACAAACAATCAACATCCGTCATCAAAAACAAATAGTCAGCGTTAACCATTCTTGCTGTAATAGCTGATAATGTATCATTATCTCCAAATTTTATTTCCTGTCAATTAAATAAATTTATAATCAAACTATATATTGGGTGGGGAGAGGCAAATTAAAGATTGTTTACTTACACTAACAGATATAGTATCATTTTCATTTACGATAGGAACAACTTTCATATTCAATAATTCAACAAATGTGTTCACCGCATTCAAATATTGCGTTCTCTAAAAATTTCTATTAATTAATAAATGAGAAAAAAAATTTTTTTTTAATTTAACTATAATTCCTTCCTTACCTCAGCAAGATCATGTCTAGTTAAAAGAATTTGCGCAATTGGTTGATTTAATTGGCTGAATAGATCATCGTACATTCTCATCAATCTTCCTTGTCCAACTGCTGCAACAGCCTTAATTAAAAACCCAATATTTAATAAATCAAAATTAATATAACCCACCCGTCCAATCCGTCTGATAATATAAACATATGTGTGTGCGTGTGCGTGGATAAATAATACCTGAACGGCGGATAATTTTTTTGGTTTTTTATCCATTTCTAATCTTCTTAAACCAACTCCAATAGCACCACTTGAAACCAACACTACCTTATGTCCTAAGGAGCGTAATTTCACTATTGTTTCAACTACTAACGATAAATTCGATAATAATGGCAAATGCGTTGTCTCGTCACATATTGACGAAGTACCAAGTTTTATTACTATTGTTAAAGATCTAGCTGTTCGCAGAGACATTTTTTATGATGTGATTGACGTGATGATGTGATGATGTGATACAAAATAGAAAACTTTTTATTAATATAAAAAATATTTATTTACATGTGAATAAAAAATACATGAAAAAAAAATTCTATTTTAATTAAATATTTAATGTTTGGTTAATCATGATGTTGATAAATTTAAATTTGATGTTATTGGTTTTTCTGCTGTTCCATCAGCTTTTTTTGAATTATTTCTTACCAATGATTTTGCATTATTATTATCTGCATTACTATTGTCATCTCCACTGCTTTCAGCAACATTGGATTCGACATTTCCATTACCAGAATTATCTTGACCCGTCATCGCATTATTAACTTTCTGCACATTATTGATATTATAATTGCTATAAAGATTTGTATGATCCATGGGTCTGTTGTACTGTTTATTTTGAGCACCATTCAATCTACCATTAGGCGAATACAAACCCATTTGACTCCTAGGCGCATAATTAAATTGAGTTGGTCGTACGAAAGGATAATTGTCGTTGGTGAATGTATTTGGCGTAGTTAACATAGGAGGAGGTATCGGGTGTTGTGATCGTTGTGGATAATATTGTTGTTGTGGATGATATGGTAAATGTGATGGTGGTGGTGGTGACGTTGTAGGCGATGGAATGTTATAAAAATTTTGTGGTTGTTGTTGTTGATAATGACGATTATGTGACGATGGATTTCTGGTTAACCGTGAAGATGTTACCGCTTCATTATTATTGTCATTACTACGGCCATCAGCACTATAATCTTCTGTTATTAATCTAGTTGGAGAAAAACTACTATTACGATGATTATTATTAAGTATTCTTGATGTTGGGGCTAAGAGCGATGTTCTTCGCTTGTATATAGAATTTCTGACACTTAGTCTTCTTCTGCCATCCAAATCATCAAAAAAATTTGCAGAACTTCCTCTAGATGATTTGAGAATTTTTAATTTTCTACGTACAAAAAATACTATAACCGCACTTATTATAAATGTTACTATTACAGCTACTGCTATTATTGCAGGTGTCGGTACACCACCACCGTTATCTGAGCTATTACTTTTGTCTGAGTCCGAAGTATCAGATGTTGTGATAGGACTAATGCTTGAAAATGATGATGATGACAAAGGACTGGATATTGTATTTGACGTAGACGTAGGCGGCGGCGGCGGTGGTGCTTTCGTTGTAGGCGGCGGCGGCGGCGGTGGTGCTTTCGTTGTAGGTGGTGGTGGTGGTGGTGGTGTAGGTGTAGGTGTAGGTGTAGGTGTAGGTGTCGGTATTATGACTATAAAATTCTCCCCTAAATTAGACATTTTTATTTCTTGAGCTGGCAAAGAAAGCTATTTAATGATTTGACAATTAATAAATAATGCAATTTCTGTGTTATTATTTCTTGCTGTTTTATTGTAATTATGACTTGTAGTAAAGAAAAAAATCCAATTAAAAAACTTTATGTTCTACTTATTTGAGAACCTTAGTTATCCTTAATAATTGTTTTCTTGATTTTTTTTTTTTTTTTTTTTTGATTTAATCAGAAGTAAAAAATATTTTGTTTATAAGTCAAAAAAGAATAAAAAAAATTTTTTATTAAAATCATCGGATCGGATAATTGTTTTTTTTTTCATGAAAAGAATATTAACTTTCAATAGCTATGATGATAATGAAACTCATTGGAAATAGTTAAATCCTATCCATTAAAATTTTATTGAATATGGTTACTATAATGAGCATTGGAATGTCCAAGACATGAGATTATTTTTGTATGGGATTAATCACATTTATTAATATTTAATGTCACAAATAAATTTTTTAATATCAGATAATCTTTTTTTCACATGTATAATTCATTAATAATTCTTCATCACTGTATCTTTACTTTTATGAATCGTAATTGTCTTGCCCCCAACTAAAATTTCTTCATTTTTATGGTAATGATTGCCATTATAGCTTTTTCATTTTTTCATTAATATTAATTCAATTCGCACTGGAATCATTTGTAAATTGGGTTACATCCACAAATAATTTAATCGGCTTCTTTGGTTCTTTATTTCCTCAAATACTGCTCTAGAAAATGCATTCAGAGCCCTTTGAAGAGTGAATTTGAAATCGTATTTTCATCGTAAAGATCCAAAAAAATCATCTTTTTCAAATTATATAAAAAGCGTACATTAGGAAAACCACGGTTTGACATGTATATAAATATATAGCATCTTTATAATTTTGTATATCAAAAATGAAAGCTTCGTTATGGCTTCTTACGACAAAACTGTTATATTAGTAAAACGCATGAAGGTTTGTCTAATCCTATCTCGACAATTCGATACGTTGCTCTGGTCATTCTCCTGTTAGCAATGCCTTTTTTTATACGTTAATAATATGCTAACTTCTATTCCCAAGGATCGTTATTAGCTACTTTAAATTTTATTTTTTTTGCTATGTACTATATCTCCAACTAAATGAATAAAACTACTTGCTCGTCCAGCGCAAAATACAAGATTTTCTGGTTGTTTTTTGTTCTTCTGCATTCCTTCTTGACTAGTTAGTCCTTAATTAAAGGAAAAACTAATAAGTTTTCGAAACCATTCTTTAATATCACTATTGAATGTTGAATGGATTACTTTGGTTTGTATGAAGATTAATATTAACAAATTAAAAAAACTAACCAGAAATGTATTAGTAATCGACGTTAAATTTAAATTTAATTTTTACTGGGAAAATTATGTGCCTAAATCAAATTTCGGAAGTTGATTGGCGGATTTAAATTTAGTTATCTCTATTAACCCGAACAAGTAACAATATATATTACTACTACCCGGATTAGACTTTCCACTCTTTCATACTAAATACCATTTAAGAAAAAAATCTTCCCACGTTATTATAATTAAATTTTCTTGTAAGAAAAGAGGTTACATCGTCTTTATAATGAATTCGCAAAAGATGTGGTTTTTTTCAAACAAATTTGGAAAGAATTATTTATTTCTTATAAAACTTTTTAAAAAAAGTAAAAGGCTTGACTTTATGTGTTAATATATATTTAGTTTTTTTGAAAATCCACGTGCAAAATGCTCTAAAATTTGATTTGCTGTCGCCAATTTTTCACATATGCGGGCATATTTCAGGAATTTTAAATCCAATATAAACAGATCAAGAACATTTTATTTAACACTTGGTCTTAAGAATAAGAATAAAAATTATTAATAGGTAAAAAGTTTCTTGCAAAATCCAACCAATATCTTTATCAACAATCAACCATAATTATACATGCAACCCAAAATGTTTTCCAGATCTATGATACAAATAAAAAATGGAATATGAATCAAACAAACCCGCAAGGAATAGGAAACCTTTTGAAGAATTTCAAGCAATGATTTAATAAAGACTCATTGAAGGGAAGGGAGTTGCTGCAAAGAATTTATACTGACGAAAAACTAATCCTAGAAGGACAGTAATCCAACAGTGGGATAATAGTATACATTTAAATTTTTTTTGTCAAAATCATTTTCATATAAAAAAAGCTAACACGTTTTTGGAGTATCTTTAGTTTATCTGATATGATATCTACTTGATTTATCCAGAATATGATAAGGTCATTAACAACATTCTTCAAAGAACATAGCAATTTTTCATATACAGTCAAAGCTCGTTATAGTGTAAATTTGGTTCCAGGCATTTTTGTCCACTATAACGAATTTCCACTATAAAGAAAAATCTCTTTACAGTGGACTTATTATAAATAAATTGAAAAGTCCCATATAACGAGATTAAAAATTTTTTTTTTAAGAACACAAATAAATCGTGTATAACATATATACATAGTAAAATAAATAAATTATTATTAAATGACGCTGTCTAGTGTAAGTTGTTTTGCATTATCCTGAATACAGCATGTAAAGAAATTATTGGCAATTACATATTTGATCATTATACAACAACCACTGTAGCAATGTCATATTAAAAATTTATCAATAAATCTCTCATACTCAAGTTACCAGATGAAGTATTAATCATGTTGATTGCTTTCTCCATTATTCTCTATAACTAATTTGCATCTTTGTTTCATCGATTTTACTAAATTGATTAACATGTTTTTTGGAATGGCATTCCATTATTCAACCATAAAACGACTTAAATCCTGCTGATTTTTTGGCATTCTCTTTTCAAAGTTTCCCTTAACAATATTCGAGAGATTCTCAATAGGATTTAAGTCAGAACTGTTTGCTGGGCAGTCAATAATGTTGGGGACATTTTCACTAATTAATGATTGTGAAAGACAGCTAGTGTATTTAGGGTCATTATCCTGTTGAAGCCGCCAATGCCTCTCCATTAGTTCTCAAATCTCAGTAATATGGTTTTCTAGAATTTCAACATCAAATTCTGAGTTCGTAATATTTGTGAAACAAAAGAGGCTGGTCTTACCCTTTATAGAAAAGCCACCCCATGCAAATATTTTAGTATTAGTATGATCATACCTTATACTAGCAATAATCCATTAGTTTTGAGGTAGTGCCGTTGGTTTGATGGACTATTGAATAGTAAATAGTTTTTTTTTTGGCAGAGCAAATAAATTTTTAGGGTTAACTATCACTCTACTAACCAGTTACATACACACAATAAGATATACATTAAGTCGGATCAACAATCAACGTTTAAAATAAATAAATGACTGACCTAGCGAGTTTACATGTGTGTAGAGTTTGAAAGAAGGGCCCAAAAAACAAATCGGCTGCTATGGTAATAACATATTACCAGCAATTTTCCCATCATTATCCTTGCTGAAATGTTTGCACTATATAAAAACAATCAATATATGTATAGGAATCAATCGTCCGTCACGTCACTAAAATTTATTATTTAGTGATCAGCAAAGTATCGCAAGTATTTGGATTGATGACTTCGTCAAATTTCATCAAATTTCATCAAATTTCATCAACCATTCTTAGTTCAAACTCCAGTTAAACTGCAATTTGGATTATCAATACTTGTTATACAATAAGTCTTAAAATAATTAATATGAAAGTCTAGGTTTTGCCAATTCGCGCAAATATAATTTTTATTGTCTAAAATACAATATAAATTATATGCGATAAAATTGTGAAAACTTTGTATACAAGCAAATTTATATCAATTTATAGCTCGGTGCTCAAATACAAGTTAAATAATAAATAAGACAATCGAATTTTGTTACTCAAGATACAGTAAAGGCTTGAAACATTAAATTTTTTCATGCACATGACATAAATTCAATGGGTTATAAATAAATTAATAAAACTGTCACAACATAAAACCTCAGTTTAATAGCAAAACAATTTCCCAATTCATCAACCAACAAATCATCAATATTTTTATATTACTGGAAGTTAATGTTTATAATGTACAATGACTTCCGATTAGTAATGAAAATTAACCAAAATTAACATTTGGAAGAAAGGGTTAAAATCAAGATCATTTAGTAAACTATAGTTACTCAAATAACTTTTCAAGCTTTTCAATGTAGCAATTTCATCATCTAATATTTTAATTGTATGATATGCATTGGATGTGACTTGTGTACTTGCTGTGATTCACCACTATCATCACTACTGCTACTACTTCTACCATCAGTTTCATGACTTTTGATTTTAGAAAAATTGGATATTCTCTCAATCAAACTATTATTGTTACCATTATTTGTGTTAATCTTTTATTTTTATGAATTTCTTTGTGTTTTTTTTCTGATAAAATTATTATTTATGCATCAACAAATCAAATAACCTTGTTGGCAAATTCAATGCAATCTGAGATTATTTTCAAATGCTAACCAAGAGAGAATGCAGTAATTTGGTGCATTATGCATTATTTGGAACAATAATCAATATACTTTGTTCAGTTCATATAATGAATTCAGCTCAAAAGATTTAAAATATAAAAAATTAATTATTTCAAAAATAATTTTTTCATTATAACACGCAATAGGGGCAGAGCACATGATTCTGAACCAATGTTCTCAATGAACCAGAACCAGCATTTTCAGTTTGTAAGGCAAAGTTTTGCGCTTTGAATAAAAGTAATCTAGCTATTCATGGTTATTAGTCAAATTATATCAGGTCTGATATTTAAGAATACAATTGTGATTATGCAAACACATAATAAGATGACAATTATATAATTATTGAATCAAAGAAATAATAAATATTTAATAAATTTAATAATAATAACATTCATAAATAGTATACATAATAAAGAATTCATCCATTATTTTGTTGGCTTTAAATCTCTACCTGTTGCAGTTGTTGCTCTCGAATTTGTTGTTGCTGACTTCTAAGGGCTTCTAACATGGAAGTGTCAATTACATTACTCTCAAGAAAATGCCTAAATCCTTCCAAATCTCTGACTGCTTGTGAGATTCTTACTGAATCAGCATTTGTGCTAGGCAAATTCACAAATTTCGAGAGTTTTATTTCAGTGTGCTCTTTGAATCTTCTGATGCCACAACATCCATTACGTATAATACCCCAGGGTTTCATTGAATTGACCCCTAAAAGTTTTTGAAATAAAAATGAGAAAATTATAGTATATATATAATTTAACCCAAAAAAAGTCAACTTGCCGAATAAAAATACATATACAAACACAATGGAACTATAATAGACAGCAATAGTTCCCAGTATGTTCATCATCTAAGTATCCAAATGATGGACTATATTATTTTCAAAAAAATAAAAAAAATGATGAAACTTCAGAAATATTATTGTTATTGCTCACACTAGTGGTTCTATTATTATTATTTGTAAAATTGTGTTAATAAAACATTAGCAAAATGGATTCAACTCAAGGTGTAATAATTGATTGTTTTAAATCATAAAATCAAATTATAGATGATTTTTACCTCTGTCCTTGTTCTATGATTTCGTAGAAGTCATGTGGGCCAATTCTTACAGTCACATAATACATACTGGGTGAGTTTATAGGAATAGCCTCTGTGGTATTAATCAATAACACATTATGACTTTTGAAACAAATATTCTTACATATATTTGATTCAATGTAATATTGTTGATTGCAGGATGATGAGAATCCAATATAAGCAAAAACCGTTTTAATCTGTGTATTTCTGATCTTTCTTAAGAATCCCAGCCTGTATACCTATTGATTTTTTAATAATAATTTTTTAACAACTTGGAAATTCATCCTCTTTCTAAAATATGATCTCAGTAATACATACATAGTTTTTCAATAAAGCATACTTATTCATGCTGAAAAGTGATGCTACAAATCACAGGTAAAAAATTAAATTTGTAAAATGCACAGTTTTAGTTAAATAATGATCAAACTTTTGATAAATGGTATTATCAAATTTGCTTTTTCTTACCAATGAATGTATCAGAAGATTCTCTACTTTGAGCATTGTCCTGTTCATTTTCTATATATCCACTGCCATATTATTATATAAATATAAAAAAGATTATCCATTAACTTTATGAAAAACTTACTTGAATCATATGCAGTCATTCTAACTGTAGTTTTCTGGGAGGTCTTGTTCAGGACAATAGTAGTCAGATCTATGATACTCATGTAAATAAAAATAAATCTTGGTAGCCCTTTTTCATCATCATCACATTTGGACAAATTTAAGTTACCATTTGGTGAGAATGAGCCAATGAAAGGAAAATTGACATCATCAGTCTTTTTAGTTTGGGTAATGTATTGATCACATTTGTCTATTTTTGCTTTTGAATATTTTGAGTCATATATTAATTAATATTCATAGATAATATGAAATAAGAATAAAACAATTAATAAGTTATCTAAACAGCAAAAGAAAGGAAGCAAAGGAGGAAATCAATAAATTATTTCGACAAAAAAACTCTGCTTACTTCCATTGGTATTGTAATATAACATGAAAGACATTTTGAAGTCTACACCAAAACCCAAATGGACAGCTGCATCAATTTGTAGTTTTGGTATTTTTGGTATTAGAAAATGTGTTGCCTGTCTTTTGTAATACTAATACCAAAAAATATTTTTTTACCTGGAGCCTGTGGATTATCCTTTGGTTTAAAAGTGGTACTGATAACAGGCTGTTCATTGACCATCTTTATGGTTAACATGGTAAATGAACCTACCAATGTCAATAATGATATAATGATAATAAAGCGTCGAAAATATAAGATCAATTCTGCTTCACTTCTCCATGGTCTTTTTATTAAGTTGTGCCACATTTTATTGTTCTTAATTTACTTTTTTTTTAATAAAATTACAAATAAAACTTTTTCTTTAGACTGTAATTTATAGATTACAGAAAATAAATAAATAATAATAAATAAATAAATAAACCAGAAAAAATTTCATTTAAACAAAAATTTCATTTAAACAAAAATTTCAAAGGGAAGAATTATTGTTTAAGTAAAACAACCAAATCAAAAAACATATTTTTTTTCCATACAATAGTTATTAATCTTAGTTAAGATGGAAAATAAAAGAAATTGTAATAAAGCCAAAACTGGTCAAAATCCACCTACTCCTGCTCCAGAAAAAAAAAGAAAATTGGCAGATCCTCTTCTCCTTCTGGTTCAGTCTGCCCTCAAGAAGACTACTAATTGATCACCTGTATTAACTGCAATCAAACATTTGTTTATACATTAACAAATGAACATAATAATGCTAATCATTTTTTTGGCGAATCTTTGCTCATAAAGACAGTAAATCTTTTATCTGTAATTTGAATTGTTCATTCAATAAGCCAACTGAATTTTCTCCCCCCATTCAACTCCTAAACTCGCTATTAATACATCTATGGAAATTGTGGATACAAAATCTATCTCTTCTGACAATACAATCTCTTCCCAACCCATCTCACTAACCTCCACAACTCAAAATTCCTTTCATCAAATGTTACATTTAAATATTGTAGATGCTGCACCAAATGTTGTACTTGATGAGTAATATCATTACACAGTCTGAGCCTCTTCTTATTATTATCAATCAACACAAACAAAAAATGTTGTATAGAATTTTCCATAAAATACAGAAGACAAAATTGTAACGAAGTCATTTTTCTGATGAAACTACATTAGAAATATTTAGAAATACTTAAAAAGTATTTTATAAACCTGGTAGTCACCTTTACACAAGGATATGGTGAAACATCCATACAAAATTCATGCCTGGGGTGCCTTTTCTGTAAAAAGTCTAATTGGTTTTTTCTTTTTATTGATATTATGGGTGATGCTTTATACTGAAAGATTTTTACTGAAAATCTATTGGAAATGAAAACAATGTCATGGAAAACCATTGGATCTTTCAACAAGATAACAGCCCTGAGCATATGATTAGGAATGCTAAAAAACTTCTTGCACATCATCATTTAATAAATAACAAACTGATCTTATCCTTGTCCTTATGGTTGTCTTAGAAATTAAAAAAAAAATCATGTGCAGATAAATAAATATATGCTAGAGTGAAAGAAACCAGTAAAACAAAAAAACAGGTTTAAATTCTAAAGAAGGTTTGGAAAAAAAAAATCAAGCAATATGATGTTTATTTTTTCAATGATATGTATGACTTTTAACTTCGACAACCCATCTTGTATCTCTTGATGGTGTTGTTATGCAATGGTTGCTTCATAATTATCATCTACCAATTTCTATTCAAAATTTTAATATTAATTTGACATTAATATTGTGAGATTGTAAATCGTGGACCAATCAATTGACCGTTAATATTGACCAATTAGAACGAACTTAATACGGGAGTCATGTGATGCGCTAAATATTACATCACGATTAACAATTATCTTTCTATATTTATTGCAAAGGTTGCGC